AAACATTCAGTAGTTCTGAACGAAATAGTAACACTCCCTTTCCCCAATTAAGAATATTCACAGCCAAGTATAACACTGTAAGGTAGATAATCCCAGAAATTGTATAAAAACCAAGTGAACAATCAGATGCAAGGGTGAGCCTCTTCAGTTACAGCATATACAAAAGCTTTCTAATCATTTCCACAAAATAATACAGTACAGAGGGAAAAAGATTTTTAAAACCACTCCTTGGAAGGAAGGTTGTGCAATCTACTTCCCTAGTGATACCTCCTAAGAAACCCAAGGAGGGGTCGCTAGGGGTCGGTTTCGACTCCACGGCAGTGAGTTTGTTTGTTTGTTTTGTGCTTTAACAATTCTATTTTAACTTTCAACTGCTTGTAGAAACAGTTCACTACTGCTATACCAAACCAACCCAACCCAAACTCACTGCCGTCCAGTTGGATCCGACCCCTCCTTCGGTTTCCGAGGAGGTATCACTACGGAAATAGATTGCCCAACCTTCTTCCGAGGAGTGGCTGGTGGGTTTGAACGACCAGCCTTCGGGTTAGCAGTCAAATGCCTTAGGCACTACGCCACCAGAACTCCTGCTACTGCTATGCAGATATGAAAAACCCTAGATGTTAAAAAGAGAGTGAGAGGCAGAAATGGGAAGAAAAACACCACAGACTGCACTCTCAAAAGCTTTCGTCTTTAGACCGTAGTGGGATGTCCAGGTCCCGAGGTCCGCGGTGGTGATGTGGTTCAGGGACCGGGCGTTCAAGAACCCCCTACGGCGGAAACCAGGAGCGGGTAACGCCAGGAGCACGAGGCCCGAAGGTGGTCCCCTCCCTGGCAGGGCAACCCTGCTCCACGCACCTTATAGCGGGTCCCGCGCTTGTCCTTCAGGGTGGAGATGAGCAAGCAGGTGGGGTGCGGGCCGCCCGGCTCGCCCTCGACCTGGGGCCCCGGCCGATTTCCGTGTGTCTGCTGACAGAGGCTCAGCACTGCTCGATAGCCCTTTCCCCTGTTCCTCAGCCCCAACGCCGGCAAATGCCGGCTGATCACCTCCACCTCGCAGTACAGCTTCATCCCGCCCACGCAGTTGCAACCGAGTCCCGAGCCCGTGCTTTAAAACTTCCTCTTTCCCGCCGCTCCGCGCCGTCGCCGCCAGGGCCCTCGAGCGTGCGGGCTGTCCGCGTATTCGCCTGCTTGCTTGATGTGCCAACTTCTTGGGCTTTCTCAGTTCAGTGGCTCTACGAGACCCGCAGGGAGGAAGGCATGCCCGCTCCCCTGCAGAGCCGTATCCTCGCTGTGGTTGTGGACGAGTAGTGCGCGGATATTGGCTGCTCAAGGATCTATCTCGCTCACCCGGAAACCGGCATTCGGCAGAGGCTCAAAGCCCTTTGCCAGGGGCGTACACATACGGCTGCCTTGGTTGTTAATTGTTTGCGGCTGATTCCTACGGTGTCTGCTGTAGACCCTTAATGTGTTTCCAGGACACGTTGGGCATGTCAGATTCCCGAGGAAGGCAGGTCTTAGGAAAAGGCTCTTAATTTACGTAGTTTTGGCCATTTAAGAATTGCCCAATAAGCCAATGGAGGGTAGGTATTTCCCGGCACTGACCGGCTGATGTTTGTATATTTTTGGTGCCTCCCCTAACGCCGGATGCAACACCCACCATCTCAGAGCGGAACTTGTTACGACCATGTTTGATTTGGCAATTCTTGTTGAACAAATTCTTATTTTGCAATCGCGGTGGAGTGGGTGGGATGACTGGTTTAACTGCACCTGGGACCGTCACAGACCCTTTAGATTCCCTTTACACTTACTAAACAAGGAAGGGCTAGAAATAGAATTAGGTGCAAATTTCAAGGAGGTGCTCACTATCTGGGTCATGTCTTGCATGCTAAAATTTTGCCCTAGGTGTCTCCCTCCTGGCCTTACATTCTTGCATGTATATCAAATAGAGCATGAAAACATCACTCTTAATTTAGCAATGGTTAATCTTATCGCTGAGGTGGATTGACACCTTGGTGGAAACAATGGACTCATATTAGCAACACTCTAGAAAATGGTTTAGGACCCCTGAGCTGTTTCTGTGATAGATAAGGTCACTAAGAGTAGGAGCTGACTCCAGGGCATCTGACAACAATCTCATGGCTAGAGAGAAACTAAAAATCAACTGGGTAATAATAAAGAAGATTTTTTTTGAATGGGTAATAATAAAGAAGATAATGTAATGGTTGGAAGTACTGTTGTTAGTTGCCCTCCAGTAGACCCTCGACTCATCGTGATCCCTGAAAAGGCAACCTAAGGCTGACAGCATAAGACTATAGTGACCCATAAGATTTTCATTGGTTAATTTTCTGAAGTAGATTGCCAGACATTTATTTCTTCCTAGGTTGAAAGCGTTACCAAACCCATTCCCATCGAGTGGGTTGCACCCCATAGCCACCCTATAGGACAGGGCAGAACTGCCCCATGGAGTTTCCCTGGTTCCATGGTTGTAATGTTTACAGAAGCAGACCGTCACATCTTTCTCCAGTGGATGGGCTGGTGGAATCAAACTTCCAACTCTTCAGTTAGCGGTTGAGTGCTTAACCACTGTGCCACCAGAACTCCCTGAAAGCATTACAAATCCATTAGAATACTCTGAACCTCTAAGTTACAGTTGGGACCTAAAGAAATCTCAAGTGTTGTAACGTCCTTATTTTTGGCAGGAGGAGCACCACGGCAATGTTAATTAAAGAGAACAAAAATGCACAAGATTCAAGAATACCAAAAAAAAAAAAAAAGTTGGCAAAAGTTGTGTGATAGATCTATTTCCAACAATGCCAATAAATAAATGTAGCTGTGAGGCTGCTTATACACAACCAAACACCTCATGGAATTTGGTTCCTTGGATTGGAGGTGTAGGGTAATGGTTTCATGGAATATCCCAGTTAGTTGGCCTACTAACATGTTTATTTCTTCTGTTTTACCTCCTAGTTCCTTGGATAGTGCCTGGGGTCTTAAAATCCAAGGCATAACAATTGGTCTCTATTCACCTGGAGCAACAGAGGAAGGAGAGTCAGGAGTAGGAGAAGGATACGGAATGTGTGGCTATTGCCTCCATAAACAACTGCCTTCTTTGTTATCAGAACAGAAAAGCTGGATGGTGCCTGGGATGTTCCTGGATGGAACATTTTGATCAAAGATTTGATAGAAAATTCCTGATTGGCTGTTGTTGCTTGTCTGTTCAAAGGGCTCCCTTTAGCATCTCTTGTAAGGTTGGTCTGGTTTTAACAAATTCCTTAATTTCTGCTTTTTCTTTGAGGTTACCCTGTGATTTACAGTTTTCTTCCCAAGTTTAGAACAGTCCATTCAATATGTTAGATTAATTAGTAAAAAAGATATCTTGAATATTCTGCTTTTTTTAAAAATTTTTATTGTGATTTGGGTGAAAGTTTACAGAGCAAATTCATTTTCTTTTTTTTA